TGTTTAATGGGCTTGGCAGAGAAAGAGACTATGTAATTGACCCAGGTCTTTTGAGCTCTTAACGTTAACTGAGATCCTGTAACATAGGCAGATTTAGCCCTTTTGTTTCTATTTCTATATTTAATATAAATGTATATTAAAATTTTGCAAACATTTAGCTTTTGGCTAAAGTCAGCTTTCGGCCACAGCTGTTGATCAGCAGGGAAACAGAGGGAGAAGAGTGATTTTCACACTTAGCAAGCAACTCATGTGTGCCAGTTGCACAAAAGAGAGGTTATAGTGAGATATCCAATTCCCATTAGAGAAACAAGGGAGCTGGAACTCAGAGAACATAAGTGATTTGCTGACAGTCAAGGTTTGTGAGTGGCGGTGCTGGGATTGGAGCCAGGCTCACTTGGCCCTGAGGTCCATGTTGAACAGAAACCTTCTCTATGATTCCCCAGCAGACACACATAGCCATGCCGTTTCAGGTCCACTCTCAGGTTGCTTCTGCTGGGGCCTTATGTGCCTGAGGGCAGAAACTCATAATCATTTGAGGACCCACGTGGTGTTGCAGTCCAGCATGACCATTTCAAACTCTAACCACTCCTGCATCTGCAAAATGGCATTTTCCCTGCTGGGTGTCTAGGGTAGGGTAGCATCCTACCCTGTATGGTTCCTAGCTGGGGCCCCTGTCACCAGGGAAATGGTGCTGGTTCTCACCCAGAAATAGATAAAGAGGAAGTGTCTCAGCTGAATAAGAACAGGTGTGCAAGCCTATCCCGACTCCCTGCTCCCTGAATGAAGCAGGGCCTCCTGGCATCGCTTGATGTTTGTGACGCTATCCCAGGTTGTACTGGCAGCAGCCAATACCAGGGTTTTCCAGAGGCTGAAGTCCAACACACGGTTAATGTCATTGACTTTTCCTCCCTTCCTCGTGATCAGTGGAATAAACATCTCTTACTTAGAACTGTTCTATGCAGACTTAGAGTGGCAGAGGACTAACTTAACCTGTCAAAGGCTATTTTGAGCAAAAGTCACCTTGTGTCACTGAAGCTGTAGAACTGAGCCACGATAGGAAACTGTTAAAGTCGCAGGGTCGAGGACTAGGTACCTATGTTATCCCAGCTGCGCAGAAGCACAGCCTGAGTCTCCTCTTTCGCTGAGCCGAGGGCGGGTGGAGAGCCCTGGGAGAAGAAGGAGCGGCCCTTGTGACCAGTGCCCTCTCGGTTCACAAGGAACGTCTCCTCTTGTTTACGTGACTTGGCTGAGCTTGCTACTTCTGCTTTGAGAGTCAAATATCAGGATCAAGACTTTAATTATCCCCAATTTACAGATGATGAAACCATATTGGGCAGAAAAGAAAGTCACCCCCGGAGAGCAAGTTGGGCCTGGGCACTGGCTGAGGACACAGGAATGATCATTTGGGATGTAGCTTGATAAGCGGCCTCACAGGTGTTCTGATTCAGGTGTCGAGGGGATAGAGCAGAAAGTTGTCAGGGAGACGCGGGTAGGGTGCACTGCGAGAGTGGGAGAAATTAGAGAACTCACAGCAAAGCCTCGGGACACTGAGAGGGGGTGCACCACTGTGTTTTCTGCTGTAGGAGAGGAAAGCAAGAAAAGGAATCTGTGTGAAATCCTGGCAGCCTGCAGGAGAAGCAAATGCCCTTCATTTTGTTCTTCCGCAGTGAGACTGGCATCCCTGTAGCTTTGGGAAACCAGGCTAGTGTGGATGCCAGCTCACTCCAGTGGCCTGATGACTGGGAGACCATGGGCTGGGGTTCTGGTCTGGGCTCCTAGGCCTGATGGGAGGAGAGTTCAGCCCCAGGTTTCCTGTACTTCAGCTCATATCCAGACGATGGTAATTGTTGAAATGAGAGACTCAAAGGAAGCTGGAACCTGAACTTTGTTGTTGTCCCATGTGGACACCTGTGTTCACTTTCTAGTTCTACCTCTTGCTGTCTGTGTGTTCTTAGGTAACTCACTTAAACCTTTCTGAGTCTCATTTTGTTCATTTATAAAATAAAAGATATAACATTTATGTCATATATTGTCCTGAGGATGAAATGGGAGAATGAGGAGCTTCTTCTGAATTCCCTTGGCTTCCAGTGGGTGGAGGCCAGAGAAGCTGCTAAACATCCTGCCAGGCGCAGGACAGCCCCCGTCACAAAGAACTGTCTGGCCCCTGATGTCAGTAATGCAGTACTCAGGAGCCCTGGTGTGGGGGAAGGAGAAGAAACTCAGAAGCTTGGCACATCTCAATTCAAACCCCGGTTTTACCACCTCCAGCAGGCCTTGGTCAGGGAATAGTATCTAGCTAAAATTCGTTGACTTCATTTTGTTTTCATAGAATTTATGTTTTACTGGCTTTCCATTTGTGAGAGTGATAGAAGTTTCCTTTAAACATGAAGTTGTAAATATAAACAAGTAGGCCATTCACAGAAATATATAAAACATGTCATAGGAAAGGTGGCACTCTCATATGGCAATAATTACGACAGACGCCGGCAAATGACCTGAGTGACCCGGAGTGACCTGAGCACTGAGTTTCAAACGCCGTCCGTAGGACGTCCTGCATCCCCCAGACCCTTTCCTGGGTCCTCCTGTGCCCCAACACTCCCTAGACCATCCAGACCTCAGGCCACCCACCTCTCCGTTGCCAGAGGAGTCTCCGTTCCCGAACATGCTGGTCACCATCAAGAGCAGCTGCTCCTCCTCCAGGCAGCTCAGCTTATACTTGTCCACGCAGAGAACCTGGATGGCGCTGAGGTGGACACAAGCCCTCAGCTCCCAGTAGACACTCTGGGCTTCCTCCCACACGTCCCCCTGGCCGGGACTCCTGTGCTCATCTGTCTCTCCCAGTACCCAGCACAGGCGTGGCACAGAGGAAGTGAATGGACTGATTTGAACACATCATCCTCGGTTCTCCTTCCCCGCTCAAGCCCTGCAGCTAACCCATCAGCGAGTCCTGGAGGCTCTGCCTCCAAAATACTGCCTATCCCATGTCCAAATGCCTCTCACCACGTCCACTGCTACTTGCAATTGTGTGTGTGTGTGGAAACATTTCCACAAAATTGGAATGAGCAGGTCACAGCGGCGCCTGGAGGGAATGGCCGGGGAAATGTGCCCTCGCCTTGTTATTCTATCCGGGCCCACCCAGCTGAGGATGGGGGACCTGCCACCACCCTCCTGGCAGTTCCAGACTCCTGGGAGCCAGCAGGTGAGGACCCAAGAGTGTTTTCAGCCACCTGGCTGACCTGGTCATCAGTCACTCCCACCTTGGCCTAGGCCTCTACATGGTACAGATCACAGCTCATTCCAACCTGGCATTACACTGGCCTGTGCCCTGTCCTCAGGGTCACACCTGTCTCCCAGAAGCCGTGCACCCCTGGAAAACCCATGAACCTGTCTAACAGTCAGGTTCCTCCTCTGTGCATTAACAATGACATTGACGCCTGCTTTGCGGGGCGCTGGGAGGGTAGAGGGAAGTGTACGCTGGAGAGTTCCCCGAGGGCAAGGCCTGGCTCTGCATCACTCACTCTCAGATCCTCAGAGCCTGGAGCTGGCCCAGCATGTGGCCACCATTCCCTAAGAGTTGGATTTGATCCGTGAGTGCTGAAGGCAGGGGATAGAGCTTCGACAGACCCCCTGTGTCCTGTCTTCTTTATCTGCAGCTTACTCATCCTCACCCCTTTCACATGCACCCTGCAGAGCAGGTGTTCACTGAGCTTCCACAAAATTCACTAGATCAGCTGATGGATACTGGGGCCTGGATTCACTGTCAAAGTGTTTCTCAAAGGGTGCTCTCCAGAACACCATGGAAAACTCATTTGCTGTATAAGTTTGAAAACCCCTGCCCACAGTTCTCCCCTTGTGTACGAGCAATCAGCTCTACCATTCAGCCCAGGTGTGTGTTTGCTGAACCATCTGGAGGAAGCTGAGGTGACATGAGCTGAAGGCAGAGGGTGAGTCCGAAGTGGGATCTAGGGACAGGTATGAGAAGTTAGGCAAAAATAGGATAATTCCAGCCTTAATAACCTTAGATAATAGTTCACATTATTATTTAGTTAATAGGATTGTACCCACGTTAAATTGCTAATTTTTTTAAGAGGGGAAGTCTGACTCGGTCACCCAGGCTGGAGTGCAGTGGTGCAGTCATGGCTCACTGCTTTCTGGAACTCATGGGCTCCAGCAATCCTGCCTCAGCCTCCTAAGTGGGACCATAGGCACCCGCCACCATGCCAGGCTAATTTCTTTGTCTTTTCTCTAGAGACAGGGTCCACCTGTGTTTCCCAGGCTGGTCCCAGACTTCTAGACTCAAGTGAACCTGAACGTCCTGCCTCGACCTCTCAAATTGCTGGGATTACAGGTGTGAGCCACCACACCCAGTCTAAATTTGTTATGTGCCATGGAACTGCAAAACGTCATTATTAGGGGCAGTCGGATGGAAGGTGTAGGAGGCCACTGTAGTGCCTTTTCAATCTTTTATATCTAAAATAATTTCAACAGAAAACATTTATTTTAAAACATGAAGGGGGTTAATCATCTATGAGTTGAAAACACAAAGGCAGGCACACGGTGTTGTGGGAATTCAGAAAGCTGGTCACACGGCTGGGGGTGCTGGGAGGGGCTGGGCATGGTTGGCTTTGTGATCTGGGGGCTGGTGTGTTCCATCTGTGAAGGTCTTTCAAGCTGCACACTTTCTTAATCAATTTTCATAAGTTTAACAAAAATAAAACGAGGACGTGAAGTTTGCTTGGGTTGTTAAGTCTTGGGAATTTATCCAGCCATGAGCCCTGCCCCAGATGCTTCTAGAACCCTGGAGGGAAATGAGAATTTTCCAAGTAGAGGTGACAGAGGCAAGGCCCTGAGGTGGGAGCGCGCTGCTGCTCGTCCCTAGCTGTAAGGAGCCGTCCTGGTTGGAATCAGTGCTGGGTGCAGGGCAGGCTGTCTGGAAGTCCATGTCCACATTGTGGCTCAGTGTGGTGAAAGCCAATCTCACCCCCTCCGCAGGGTGTTCCGCCTGCCAGCAGGTGGCCAGCTGGTCTTCCTGGGATACGGTGCCATTGTAGAAATTGGGTGCAAGTCTCTTGTCCGTAGACGGGGTGCCCTGTTGTAGTGGGATACCTCCTGGCCTCCCTCAGTCCTGATGGGCCTGGGCAGGGCCTGGTGTCAGGGTCCCCGCGGGCTTCTCGAGCTGGCCCTGTCCCACAGTCCCGGGGCTGTCCAGGACACATTCAGAAGGGACACGGACCCAGCAGCTCTGTTCGAAATCATAATGGGGGAACCAAGGGCCCCCTACATCCAGGTCCGTCGGGAGCCGGGGCATCGAGTTCCACTCCAGGAATCTCCAGGAACCCTGAGGTCTTCCCTGAGCCGGGACCGGGCTGGGCACATCCTGAGTGCCCACAGGGTGGGTGTCTTCCCGGATAGCCACACCAGGACAAGATGTGGAAGAACGAGGTGCCCATGGTGGGGAAACTAACCAAATGGGCCGCTGGAACCGGGCTGGTGGGCCTGGAGGGGTCTGCCTGTCCCCCTTGCAGAGGGTCATTCTGCCACTTGAAGTCAGCACAGGCCTCGGTGCCGAGGACCCTTGCTCGGGTTTGGCTGAAAGAAAAACAGACGTGGTCAGCGTCTCCACTGAGCCCATGTAGGCCTTTCCCGGCCAGGCCCCACCTGCCTGGGTCTCTGGAGTCCTCAGGATCTCTGTGTGGCCCCGTGGTCTGACACTGAGGACATGCCTGTAGTCTGCTGATCCCAGAGGGAGGGGTGTGTGCTGCCTGGCATGGGGAAGCTATCAGGGCATGACAGGTAGCTCCTAGGACTGCCCCCAGGGTTCGGACTGGCTGGGGGCTTCCTACCACACACCCTCGTCCCAGGGCTGTTGGGCCAGGGATACAGCCCCCAGTGAGAACTCAGGTGGGAGGGGACTTGGATGTCACCCAGCCCCTTGTCACCTCACATGGGGACCCATCTCCACAGTGGGTGATTGGACCTGGATGTGGGTCACCCTCTGCCTTCCTGGGCTGCCCAGTCCATGCCAGGACTGACCGTTCCCACATCTGGCTGAATTCTTGGCTCTGGCTCTCGCCTGGGGTGCAGCCTGTGCCCTCTCCCTGAATGCTCTGGGGTCAGGGACACCCGATTCCCTTGTCTCCCTGGCTCAAGGCTTGTTGTCCTGGAAACCTGGAGGAGCGTGCAGGAGTGAGGGGCCTCTGCTGCTCTCTGAGGCTGTGGGTGCTTGCAGGGAGGGGCGGGGTTTCCCACAAATGGGTCTGGCTTCTTTATTGCCCTTGATGGCCTTGTGATGGGGAGACAGAGACACTGTGGAATGTGGGAGGCGGCTTGTTGGAAGGTCTTGCCCACGTCGCCCTCCTGGGGGCACATTACATCCAGTACACACGCACTGAGCGCCTGCCGTGAGGACCGGTGGCCTCTTGTACTTTCTTAGAGTCCAGGAGGAAGAGGAGGAAGAAAAGGTGAAGAGGAAGGCCCAGGTAGTAGGGTTGCGGGTCTCGGGCACTCCCCTATTATGGACTGCCCCAGAGGGTGACATGGGAGGGACATGGCACTGGAGCTCACCTGGGGGTGGCAGGTCCCCTTGCTTCCTTGTTAGTTTCTTCGTAGAGGCCCTAAGATGCTTGAGCACAGAGTCATCATCCAACTCCCAGGTATGGAAGAACAGGTTCCGAAACCGTGCCCACAGGCCAGACCTGGATGTCTTCATGAGGCGCTCTAGGGACAGGGTGGACATCAGGTCAGGAGAGTTCCCTGGGAGGGGGCACAGCTGATACCCCGTGGCCACTTCAGTCTCCCACTAGGCGATGCGGGAATCTTTTGTGGCCACCCCAGGGGTTCGGATGTGCACAGGAGACTGTGGCTGGGGGAAGTGGGTAGGGAAGTGCTCACACATTCATCTGGGTCATGTGGGGGACGGGCTCGGTGTCACTGTGCCTTGCCCAGCCCACCTGGCCAGACCTCCCTCTGGGCCAGAACAGAGGATCATGAGGACAGTGTGAGGAAGGTGCCCTCGGGTAAGTCCGCGTCTGACCCCAGGGCTCCCCAGGCCCCACTGGGCACATGTAGACTTACTCCTCTGAACTTTAAAGGCAATGCTTGTCATCGGCATCAACACCTGTTCTCCTTCCAGCAAATACACGTCCCACAGGCGCAGGGTGAGCCCAAGAGAGATCTGTGGGGATAGCAGGTGTGGGAGACTGTAGCCCTTCCAGGCTGGGGCTGGTGGCTCGAACTGAGCCCACTGGGGCTTCAGTCCCCAGAGTCAGTGACCTTCCCCATGAGGGTTTCCTGAGCCCTCCAGGGCGCTGGGTCAGACAAGGTCTTGCAGCTCCTCATGGGGGGCACTCATTGGAGTGGGGGTGTGGCTCCTGGAGAGAGGGGCTTGCCCAGGGCTTGAGGCTTCCCTGATCCCTCCCAAGTCAGGTCTTGGCCCAGTCTGCCTATAAGGCTGGTCCTGAGCTCCAGTCATTGCCCTGGGATGACCCCTCTTGGGCAGAGGGTTTGGTTTGGGTGTCCTGTGAGGCCCCCCGTGGGCGGAGCCTCCTGTGGGCTGTGGCTGAGCCAGACCCCCAGGCTGGGGAAGCAGGGCACTGCAGGGCAAGGAGGGTCCCTGAGCCAGGGTCTCCCTGTGCCTTCTTACCCCGTCATTCAACGTCTGGAGAAGCCAGCCTAAGGAGGAATCCTGCACGCAAAGACCTTCCTTGTCCTGATGGGAGGAACAGAGGTGCTCAGGGCCCCCTGGGCTGCCCTAAAAACCTCCCTCTTCCAGGGCCTCTGAAGACCCTTCCCCTAGTGCAGAACACTGGGCGGTGTCCAGGGCTCCCCACAACACCGTCGCCTTCCCACACTCCCGGTGGACACACTGCCCTTTGCCCTGCTCTGCAGGAGCTGGGCCCCCATCCCTGTGCCTCTGTCTCCTCCAGGGCAGGAAAGGAATCCAACTCCCAGCCCATGGAGAACCCGACGTCCCAGGTCAGGCCCTGGCTGGACTCATCCAGTCACCAGCCCCACCAGGGGCTCCAGTCCCCGTTCCTCCAGCGCCACGGGAGGCAGAGTCTCTGGGGAAGAGCCCAAGCTTGCTCGCCAGACGCCATAAACTCACCAGATGCCACCTGGTCTTGTGTTGTGACGTGGGGACCACATGCTCCTGATGGTCTTGGAGGCCCTGGACTGTCCCGCCATTTGGGCTGTGGAATCCTGAGAAGCCCCCAGCCCATCAAGAAATCAGAGCCTTCCCCCAAGATGTGGAGCCATCAGCAGGAAGAGCTGGGCAGCTGGAGAGGCCCCCAAACCTCAAGGCCTTTCACCCTCCCATCTGGTGACCCACCATGCAGCCTTTGCCCTGGGGACGTGGGGCAGGAACATCCCCTGGAGCCTGGCTGGAGGTTCCCCTGGACGCCTCCTGGACCAGGGTGCAAAATGGGCAAACATGACTTGAGGCCACCACATGGCAGCAGCAGGGTGGGTGCTGGGCTCTTGGTCGTCTCCTGGAAGTGAGGTCAGGCCAGGGGACACGGGTTGGCGAGATGCTGCCACCTGGGCTTGGTCGGCCCATTCATGGGCACCAAGGGCAGCAGGACTCTCAGGGATTGGAGAGTCAGCTGCACAATCAGATCCAGAGGGCGTGGCAGCAGGACACAGAGGGTGGCCACGGGGAGGATGAGATGCCCTCCGCTGATGGGGATGAAAAGTGTCTGACTTGGGCTTTGGGGTCAGCCGCGGACCCCTGTGGGACCCTCAGCAGAGACATCCTAAAGACTCCCAAGGAGCTGGCCAAGGAAGGTGCCTTGGCTGAAAGCTGAGATCATCTGGCCAGGGTGGCCGTCCCTGGGTCTGGCTGCATGAGGTCCCTTGGGCACCTGTTCACCTACCCTGCAGGGAGTGCCTCTCCCTGGCCAGCAGCTGCACCAGTGCCCAGAATGCATCCTCCTCAGGCAGATACAGGAGGAACAAGGCCGCGATGTGGCTCAGGTCCCTGCAGTAGCCCACCTCCTGCAAGAGCCAGAGTCACCGTGAAAGGACATCACCTGGGAGGACTGAGGTCACCTGGGAGGACTCATGTCATTGGAGAGGGCAGAGGTGACTGGGGAGGCTTCCTCTGATGAAGAGGCTTCCTCAGGATGCAAATTCATTTCATGACAAGAGCCAAGTCCATCAGGCACTTCAGCACCTTGTCCAAACTGTCTCCTGACGGCACCATCCCGCATGCGACCCTGCCAAGCTCCTGGGCTTTGGGGCAGCCCCAGGAGGAGGGCGTCATTTCTTGTTCTGAGAAGTGGTGGTCAGACCCAGGTGACACCAGGAGTCCAGGCCCCGACTCCTTTGTGTCTCAGCTTGACCCCTTGAGACCACCCCCTTGCTTGGAGGTTTATGCCAGCAGTGAGCTGGAGTCCTACCTCCTATATCCTGGTGGCTCACAAATACTAATTTAAAAAGAAGCAGCGACACCCCCACCAGACACCCACTCCTGTGAACAGGGAAATACTGCCTGGGAACGACACTGCCGGGAATACTCACCGGGTTATACTCCGAATATGCCAGGAGGATGTAGAATAGTTCCCGCTGCCTAGGAAACAGAGAAATGAGGCTTTTGTTTGTTTTGTGCAGATGCCGTAAGTTTCACTTTGTCTACAAAGCCTAACAACAAATCCCACTTTAGGTTCAGATGATTCACCAGATAAGCAGTGAGCTCTTCAGGGCCTTTGACTTTGAGGAAATGTTTCAGTAAAATCCACATCTGTGACATGCAGATAGCCCAGTTGTACAGTGACTTGCCTGATCCTTTTCACTCTGAATGATTTTCTTTATTTATTTTCAGTTTGCATACACGCCAGTTCAGCCTTTGGGTGTACAGTTCCTCCACGGTTCTAAACCAATGGGCAGAGTCTCCTGGCGACCGCTCCAGCCCCTCCTGAAGTGACTCCTTCATCTTCCAAGTCTCCAGGGTGGCCCCTATGCACCCGGCGTCTCCCTGATCCCTCAGCCCCCGGCCACCCAGACTGCTTCTCAGTCCCTATGGTTTGGCCTTTTCCAGAATGGCCCAGGAATGGGAATCCTACGTGGTAGCTTATTGGGTCTGGCTTCTTTCCCTCAGCAAAATGCATCTAGGATTCACCCACATTCGTGCGGGCATCACTGGCTCGTTCCCTTTTCTCACTGGGTCTTCCGGTTGGAGGGAGGACCAGCCTTGCTCTCCCCCTTCTCATGTTGAAGACGGTCCCCGAAGTCTCCTTGTGTAAGTGACGATGAATCAAGCAGTGGACGTGGCATGCAGGTCTCATGTGCACATCAGTTTTCAAATCAGTGGGTTCAATATTTGTGATACTTTGGGGACACATGGTTGAGGTCCATTGAGCTTTGTGAGTCGCTGCCAAACTGGCTGCCAAAGTGGCTGTGCCATGTCATGTTCCCAGCAGACCAGGATGACAGTTTCCAGGACCCCTAATTGTCCCCAGCATTTGGTGCTGTCAGTGTTGCCTGGAGAGGCTCATGGGCCCTCCATCCTGCCACCCTCCCGTGAGTCCTACCATGGGTCCCCGTGGGTCATGGAGAGCACCTTTCACCATTGTGCATGATTTTGTTTGCTGCCTTTTGTCTCCTCAGGATCCTCCTGGGTTCTGGCCCCACATGTTCCAGTCTGGCCCAGGGCTTGGAACCAGGTGCACAGTTCATGGTGCCAGCTGTTCCCTGGGTCAGGGGAGGTCTTGGCAGCTCTGTCATCCCTCCTGGGTGACCCTGGCCTCCTCTCCGGGGAAACCCCCATCCCTTTCATTCACTCCATCTCTGCTGAGACCCTGTGGCTCCCATAGGCTTACTTGGTTCCGTATCGATCCCTGAAGAAGATGTGAGTCCTTAATGTCCTGCTCAAGTCCACATCGATCTGGTGGATGTGTTCAGATGACCTCTTGCCCTTCTCCTTCATGACCTGTAGGGCAGGGCCAAGAGGAGGAAGCAGCCTCAGAACAGATGGAAGACTCCCAACCCCAAATGGCAGTCAGCCCACAGTCAGCACTCCAGGAAGGAAGGAAAGCAGGAAGGTTTCCTTCTGCACAAAGCTGCTTTTTGGCTTGTTACTGAACCCGGGGAGGGTCACCAGAGCCGAGTTTGTCTGTGGTGACTATGTCACCGTCCGTGCCCAGGATGTGCATCTGACCATCCCACTCACCCCCCAGCCTGGGCTTGATGCTCCCTCCAGCTGGAGACCTGGGCCCCTGACACAGCCTGTCTTGTTTGTTGTGCTCCGGCTGAGCGTACCTTGTATGTTCTGGGGTTTTTCGACTTGACTTCCTGTATGTTCAGCAGGACTGACCACACTTGGCCCCGGATGTTCATGGGAATGCCCTTATATACTCGATCTATCAGCTGTGGGCAGAAAACAACCTGGTGTCACAGGCCACGGGGTGACCCCAGTGAGGACCAGAGCCCGAGGATTCTGGAAATGGTTGGTTTTGGCCCCATGATTCCTCATTAGAGGTGACATTAAGCTGGGACACAGTCTCCCTTCACAGGATTGAAAGAGTGGTTGGGCACTCAGAGTCGGGACTCTGATCTGAACCTTTTCCTTCCTTTAGGTCACCAGGGCATCCCTAGCCTTGAGCTCCAGGTGGTCCCAGCCCTAGATTCAGATTCCCTCCCAGCAAGGTGATGCTTGCACGAATAGGCAGGTAAACCACTGACCAGGCCTGCAGTCCTCTGGGTAAGGACAGTGTGCCACCCACCCTCTGAGAGGCTGACGGTGCCAGGCCACAGCCATGGGTGCCCGTCCCCTGTCTCTGTAGAGAGTGGTTCCCGGGGCCTCTCCCTCCACACATTACCTTTTCACTGTTCTTGTATGTCTCCCACTGTCCCAGCATTTCCATCCACTTGCTCTTTCGTGTTATCTCCCGCCGCATTTGCTGTCAAATGAGGAATGTTGGAGTTAGGGGAGCTGCCAGGCTTCCCAGAGCCTCCCATGGATGCTGCGTCTTGGGCTCTGGATCCCTGGTGGACCCAGCTGGAGAGAGCCAGGGAAGGGCAGACTCTAAGGGTTGAGAGCCTTTGAGCAAATGAGCGCCAGTGGGCTGGCTTTGGGACCCCGGGACGTGCCATCCTCAGGCCACAGACACACCAGTCTTAGGTCAGGTCCCAGCCTCTACGTGGGGTCCTGACACAGGCGGGCAGCCACCCCCAAGCCACAACTGTGGTTCTCACTTTGGAATCTTATCAAGCTGCCAAAGTTACAGCAACCTGGGGTCAGTTCCAGCAGGGAGTGCTGCCCCTCCCAGGGACATCGTGTTGCCCTCACCCGCCACCATCCAGGCCAGCTGCCTCCTCTGCCTCACCGACCACCTGCCCAGTCCCCACATTCCTGGTTCTGCCCCTCCCCATGCATCAGGCTCTTACCTTCGCCTCCCGAGCAGTGGCAGGAGGCAGCTCTGTCTCACTGTAAGACAACCCAGGCAGAACTGAGGACCTGCACAGGGCCTGGAGCTTCCTGCGACTGGGAACCAATCCCCAGAAAGGACAGGCTCTGTCCCTATCCAGCTCAGGGCTCAGTCCAGGAAAAGACACAGGGAAGGGAGGACAAGGGCCTTCCTGTGGGGCTGCCTCCCAGGAGGGGCAGGACCTGGGAGAAGAGGGAGTGCGGGGCCAGCCTGGCCGGGGTTACTGGGGCCCCTGGCGTGGGGGGCGGTCAGGCTGCACAATGGGGCTGCCCGTCCTGGACTGGAGGTGGTGCTTTCTGCTGGAGCTGAGAAAGGTCAGGCCTGAGACGGGATGGGGGCTGCCCAGGGTGGGCGACTGGGCCCTGACAGGAGTCCCTCAGGGAGTGACCACATCACACCACCAGGGTCAAGGGAGCCTGCCCTGAGACCTGCCCGGTGTACTCATGGTGCACCAGGGGCCCATCCCACTTAACAGCCCCAAGGCCCTTGCAGGTTCTGACTCCCAGTTTCCACCTGCCTCTCCCTGCACCTGACCCACATACCCTGCGTTTCAGAAGTGGCACAACTCATCAGCTCCCTCCCACCCTACCTCCCCCGGCATCCTCTGTCTCTCCATCCTATGAACCCTAAGGGATAGACTCCTGGCTGGGCTCCTCTTACATGGCCCCAGGTCCTTTCCCAGCACCAGACCCAGGGTCTTTAGCCACAAGCCCCGCTGCCTCCCGGGCCTCACCATTAAATACCGAGAACGGGGCCCTGCCCATCCTCTCCCCCATTCTCCTAGGGCCTCCGCTCCCATCGTTCCCACGCTTTTACCCCTTCCCCATGGGGACAGTGAGGGCTGTAGTTCTAGGGAAATGAGAGAGGACAGGGGCAGGTGGGCCCTCAGAGACCTGCTGGACAACAGCCCTGAGGCTGGGCCAGGCGTCCCCTCACCCTGTAGCCACCACCCTTGGATTTCACTGGGGTTGTTTCCAAGTAGACACGGCCAGACCCTCAGGCTGCCCCGCTCCTCTTGTGTTGACTTGGGGACAGAACTGCTGAGAGTCCAGGGGCCTGACCTAGCCCAGTCTCCATTCCCACCCGCTCCCTAGATGGGCCCCGCACCTCTGGCCTAACAGCAACCTCCGTCTGGACCTGCAGGGGAGTCAGGGAGGAGTTCTGACCCTGGAAAGGAGGTTGGCCTGACCCGGCGAGACAGTCCTGCCTCAGAAAGGCCTTTCTGAAAGCAAACCCATCCCTGAGCTGAGAAAGGTGCTACGGGGTGAGGGGAGCACAGAGGACTCACTGCACAATCCCAAAGCGATCAATGTTGTTGTAGATTCCAACAGACTCAGGCCCCATGTCCTCTAGCAGCCCAGCTCGGTGTCCCTGTAACCCAGAGGGAGGCTTGGTGAGGGGTCCAGGGCAAAGGGTGCAAGGGCCTGGGGGTAGTGGCCACCCGTGCCCACTCTGTGCTCCTAGGGAGCCCAGGACCCTTTGACCAGGGCGCACTGGAAGAGGCCTCCCTCCAAGGAGCAGACCGACCTGTACCTTCTCATAGTTCATGATGATATTCTCTCGCTCCTGTGCCCACAAACTATCTGCATCCTCTATGATTACCATCCTGTGAGACAAAATCATCTAAAAGTTACATTGTACTTGAGAGCTTTGGAGAACACCTGAACCATTCCCGCCAGGCTCCCAGATGCTGGCTGGCTGCGTAACCCCCATTCCACCACCGCCCCCGGGTAAAAAGGCGCCAGACCTAGTGTCCCACACATGCATGAGTCTCTGGAGTCCCCAGTCCCATGCAGGGGTGGGCATCATGCCAAGGACTTGAGGATAGTGGGACCTGGACAGAGAATCCCGTCATCCCCAATTGCCATGAAATGGGGACACACCTGCCCCAGCAGGTTGAATAGTGTCCACCTGCCAAGGGTGAAGGGCCCATGATGGGCTATTCCAGGGATGTGGAGGGAGACTGGGGTCAGTGACCAGAGGTCGCTGTACAATCGGCCTCCTGGGATGCTCAGGGACCACAGAGATGTCCAGTTTCCTACAGGGAACAAGATCTCTCCTGACTGCTCTGTTCTTCTCCACTCATCACTTTGGCTCCCGTGGCCGTTGAGTCTGAACAGTGAAGCCACTTTAGGAATAATGCCAGTTGAGCAGGAGGGTGTTCGGTTTGGGGGATGAAAATGATCTATTGTGCTAGGGGAAACCCTCACTCGGGGAGAGACTGGACTCCACCATTCTGAACTGTCCCTACAGGAGGGGCTTCATTTTCTCAGGTCGCTGAGGAAGGACAGTGGGTCCTTGGTCCCAGAGAACACCTGGATGGACAGTTCCTCCTGGGAACACTTGGGGCAAAAGGAGGGCGAGGCCTCGAAAGGACCAGACAGAGCAAGAAATATGTGGAGAGAACCCCAGTGCCCGGACCCCTTTGAACAGAAGAGAAGATAGTCTCCCCCCAGCCAGCCCTCCAGGGCTCCTTCATTTTCCAAGCTACCCATTGACAGAAGGTTCCCCAGGACAAGGGACCATGTGTGTTCAGTGAGGCCCACAGCCACCATCAGGACCCAGCTTAGGGCACAGAGGTGTTCTGAGGACCCTCCTATTCCCCCCACCCACAGTGGATCTATCCCAGTTGCTCTGCCAGGACCAGGCTCTGCCCCATCAGGATGGGAAACCTGGGAAGACTTGGGATCTAGGGCAGGGAGGTCACAGGGTTCAGGCCTGAATTCCAGCACAGCGCACGGCAGGGCTGAGAGCAAAACCCAGGGTCCTGTCTGGATTCCCAGGCCGGTAACCGCCTCCCTGACCCCAGACGTCTCACCTGTCGAATGGGTACACTAGGGAACAGCACTCACTCTATGAAGCCACCATGAGGACGAAAGAGCCAATCGTCTACACTGGCAGTGTAGAACGGGCGACCGGTGAGTGCTCAGGGATGACCCTCCTCGGTAGCTGCCCAGAGGCCAACACCACCCACAGCATAGCCACTGTCCCCAAGTCAGCCTGGAGGGAAGAGAGCAGGTCGCACTCACCTGATTCCGATGAATCAGTTGGCCTGCGTTATGCTTCTCAGGTAGAAAACCTTTGAGTCCACAAAACTGGTCCCAGATACCACTGTGCGTGTGTAGCTGATACCACCGTGCGTGGGTAACTGCCGTAGAACACAGAGGCAGGCCTGAGAGCGGATTGGTGCTAAGCACCAGTGACATTCTGAGGTCATGGCACGCATCACAGTGGGGCCTTGCCCGTGTCAGCAGGGCCCAGAGTCAGGGTCCTCCGCTGCCTGAGGCGGCCACATGCCTGCCTGCAATGTGTTTGTGTGCATGCGTGGACACGTGTACATGGGTAAACACATCTGTGCACCTGTGTGTGCCTTCTCTGGCCAGGCCTGGCTGCCCCATTCATGTGTGCACCCAGTTCCTCATCACTGTCACCCCCGAGGCCCAGGACCAGTATCAGAGCATCCACGGGTGTTCACTAACCTCAGCCCTCCTCGCCCAGGGTTGTCTGGGATACACATAAGGATGGAGGGAAGTGACCACTACTGTTGAATCTCAGAATACAAATGCTACTACTATTACTTAATGGTATTTTCGTGTCTCTAATGGTATCTTTTTTTTAAATTTCTGATATTTTAACTGGGTATTTCTCACCATGACCCTTGAATGTTCTAGCTAGAGGATCCTGTGGGGAAAGTGCCAGGCACACAGTAGGGCCTCACTCTATTCCAGACATGTTATCTAAAATCTGGTTCATCTGTCCTTCCTGCCAGGGCCTAGGGGATGCCAAATTCCAGGGTCCAGAAAGAGCTTGGGATAAAATGAAGCTTCAAGGGGTGAACTTTGACCTGGACTCAGTCTGCCTGTGCCACTCAAACGGAGTCTCAAGTCCCAAGATAGGGCGTCCAGATGCCTCAATGCAGGGACCTCTGATCGACACCTGCTCCCCTGTACTCATTAGCAACCTCACCCACCCTACTCTCAAAGCACACTTGGCCCTCATATCCGGGAGCTCTGCATCTGTGGATTCAGCAACAGCAGATGGAAAATATTCAGAAAATAAATTGCATGGTTATGTCTCTAGTGAACATGTGCAGACTTTGTTCTTGTCATCATTCCCTAAAGAATACAGTATCACAACCATTTATGTAGCATCTGCATTGTATTACATATCATAAATGATCTAGTAATGGTCTAATGTCTACTGGAGGATGTGCATAGCTTTTATGTAAATACTAGGCCATGTTATATCAGGGACTTGAGCATCCATGGATTTTGGCATCCCCGGGACCCTAGAACTAATCCTCCATGGATACCAAGGGACAATTGTATAAACTCACTCAGGAAGGCTGCTCATTGGAGGAAGGGCCCAGTTCAGTTCAGACAGGGACATCATCCCTGGACTACTGTCCATCCATCCATCCATCCATTCATCCATTGGTACCACCCTCTAGTGCTGTCCCAGTGACAGCCCTAGCAAGTGGAGACATTTAAAAAGACCGGCTCACGTTGTCCAGCTTTGAGGTCTTAGAAGAAGTTGCACCACTCTGAGAATAGGGGATCCGTTTCCTCCAGGATCCAAAGAGCGTATCAGGGCCCCTTGGGGTGAGGAAAGGAGCGCGGCCTCTCCAGCAGCCACATGGGCTGCAGTAGGATGGAGCTGCGGCTGGCCCTGTTTATCACTTGGCCCTCATCAGGGAAACAGAAAGACCAGGGGGCAGAGGAGGAACATGGGGCAGCTGGTTGCCTAAGCAGAAGGCACCTCAGGGAAGGGGTTTTAGTTTGTTTTCACACAGCTGTAAAGAAATACTTGAGGCCGGGCGTGGTGGCTCACACCTGTAATCTCAGTACTTTGGGAGGCTGAGGCGGGTGGATCACCTGAGGTCAGGAGTTCAAGACCAGCCTGGCCAACATGGTGAAACCCCATCTCAGCTAAAAATATGAAAAACGTTAGCTGGGCATGGTGGCGGACGCCTGTCATCTCACCTACTTCGGGAGGCTGAGGCAGGAGAATCCCTTGAACCTGGGTGGCAGAGGTTGCAGTGAGCCTAGATGGTGCCATTGCACTTTAGCCTCGGTGACAAGATTGAAACTCTGTTAAAAAAATAATAATAATAATAAATACTTGAGACTGAGTAGTTTATAAAGGAAAGAGGTTTAATTGACTCGCAGTTCAGGGAACTTACAATTATGGCAGAAGGCGAAGGGGAAGCAGGCACCTTCTTCACAAGGCGGCAGGAGGGAGTGAGTGGAGAACGAGGAAGTGCCACACTTTGAAACCATCAGCTCTCCTGAGGACTCCCTCACTCTCAGGGTAGCAGCATGGGGGAAACTGTCTCCAGATCCAATCCCCTCCCCCAGGTTCCTCCCTTGACACAGGAGGGATGAGTTTTGTGTGGGGACACAGAGCCAAACCTATCAGGGTCTCAGCCTGTCTTGTAGCTCCCCGGGGCTGAGGCTGAGTACAGATCTGCTGGCCCTGCTCTACAGTACCGGGGGCTCTGCCTGTGCGCCGCCATCTGCTGCTTCCTGGGGTGGTGGCTGCTTCCTGAAGAAGAGGTTGGATCTGCTCTCCTACCCACCCCTCTCCAGGGCCTTGTGGTGCCCTGGCCACATCCTCCCAGGGTAAGGGCAGGAAACTGGGCTCCTTGCCCTTCTTGTTGCTTGGGTGACCATCCTGGGGTCATTCGTAGGCCCTATCACTGTTCCTCCTTCTAAATGGAGAGCATTTTGGCAAATCTTCCTGGTAGAGGCCGGGGGCTCATCCCTGTTATCTGTTCTAGCTTGGTAAAGCCAGGTGAAGACATCTGGGCAAGCAGAAAGTAGAGTGGCCCCCAGGAAGGGTGGGTGGAGGGTGCTGGCCTTTGGGCTTGCCTGGACCAGCGTGTGAGGGGGCAAGATTATTAGCAAGTAGGGTTGTCAGGGCTAACATCAGGGGACAGTAATAATGTTGGTGGGGGGACGGCGGTGTGGCTGGCTTGGTGTGGGGCATGAGAGCCAAGGTTTGTCAGCTGACAGAGAGGCGCCTGACCCATGGACTAGCGGCTGTGGAACCCAGTGGTTGCCCTTAGTTCCTGGATCCTGGGAGACTTCTGGAACCTGGGCCTGGGGCAGCCTAGGGGTGGAGGTGGTGGGTGACGGGGTAGGGGTCTCTGCTTCTCTCTTTCAGTAAGAGGGAGAACCAAGAAAGGCATTGAGGCATGGTCTGCAGAGAAGGCACTTGTGCAATCACCAGGAGAATGAGGGGCCTGAGTTGTCTTCATTTCTCCTAAAAACATGCATTCTCTCCCAGGACACCCTGGTGAGGGCATGATGCACAGGGTGTGTGTGTCTGTGTGTGTGTGTGTGTGTGTGTGTGTGTGTGTGTGTGTGTGTGGAGGTATATGCATGCGTATGTATGTATGTGCATGTGTGTCCGTGTGTGTGCATGTGTGTGCATGTGTGTGCGCGTGTGTGTGCATGTGTGTGTGCATGTGTGTGTGTTACAGGGCTTTACAGTGGACAGGATGTGGGAAGGCAGCTGTAGTTCCAAGCTGCAAGTCTTTCTGATAGAATGGTTAAGATTCCCTGGACCACAGAAAGAGTGTTTCATTTGCACCCATTTTTATTAGCATTGAAATCTGCATTATTTGTAGCAGGTAAACCTTATGTTGCTTAACTATTTTTAGAAACATTTACACCAGCAGTCCCCAAACTTTTTGGCACCAGAGACCAGGTTTCTTGAAGACAACTCCTCCATGGACCCGGAAGAAGGGGAAGGGATGATGCGGAGATGATTCAAACCCATTACATTTATTGTGTGCTTTATTTCTATTATTATTTCACATATATTTCTATTATTATTTCATTCCGTCTCTCCACCATCTGTGGGCTAACAGACTGTGTTAGTTTTCTAGGGCTGTTTTACAGGACCCCAGACTGGGCACCCTCAACAACAGAATCTTACGATCTCACAATCCTAGAGACCATGAGTCCACCATCAAGGTGTCAGCAGGGTGGGTCCCTCTGAGGCGGTGCAGGAAAGCTCTGTTCCAGGCCTGTCTCTTGGCGTGTGGGTGGCCGTCTTCTCCCTGTGACTCTTGGTTAAAGGTGACTCTGGTGAGGGCTCAGAAGAGGAGAGCCGGACAGAATGTCGGTAGCATATGGAGGGGGTCAGGCCTGGTGTCTCATGCCTGGAATCTTAGCACTTTGGGAGGCCAAGACGGGAGGATCGCTTGAGGATGAGACTTCAAGACCAACCTGGCCAACATAGGGAGACTCAGTCTCTTAAAAAAATAGAAACATGGAAGGGAAAAATCATCCAGATGAAGTCTCAGATGGCAATGAAGAACATGTTATTGGAAACTGGAGGAAAGGTGACGCTTGTCATAAAGTGACAAAGAACTTGGCTGCATTGTGCTCCTAGTGTTTTCTGGAAGGCAGAGCTTGCGAGTGATGAACCTGAAATTTAGCAGAAGAAATATGTAAGCAAAGTATTGAAGGAGTACCTTCATTCTCTTGAATGTTTCTAGGAAAATGAAAGAAAAGAGGAATGATTTAGAGACAGAACTTATAATCAAAAGGGAAGTAGAACTTAAACATTTGGGAAATTTTTAGCCTTCTCAGCCTGTCCATATTGAACAGATAAGAAAGTGTGTTTGGGAGAGAACACGAGGGTGTGGGTCAGGAGGCCTGCATGGATCAGGGCTGTGCTCTTCACCAGGACAATGGAAGAGAGACCTTGAAGGCAGTTTGTAGATCGCTCAGGCTGCACTCTCACCAGAGGACCATGGTGCCAGGGCACCAATGGCCTCCCAAACTGCTGGGATTACAGGCATGAGCCACCACGCCTGGCCTATTTTTTGTATTTTTAGACAGAGTCTTGCCCTATCACCCAGGCTGGAGTGCGGTGGCCCTATCTCAGCTCACTGCAGTGTCTGCCTTCCAGGTTCAAGCAGTTCTCATGCCTCAGCCCCCTGAGTAGCTGGGATTACAGGGGCATGCCACTGTATCTGGTTAATTTTTGTATTTTTAATAGAGATGGAGTTTCACTATGTTGGCTGGGCTGGTCTTGAATTCCTGGCCTCAAGAGATCCACCTTCCTTGGCTTCCCGAAGTACTGGATTATACGTGTGGGCCA